GGGAATGATACACTTTAAAATCCTTTTTTGTACCTTTTGTCAGAATAATGAATATTGGGTATTTGAAAATAAAGCTAAAATCTTGACAGCTGTTTCTATTTTCTTACATAGAACCAGAACCTTGAGTGAACATTCCAGAAGCTTTGAAAGAGACACAAAATCTGTTCAACTAGACTCTAAAAACAAAGTAACACCAACTTGTCAGTGAGGAGAATGAAATCTCACATTGAAAAAAAAAAACTCACCTGATTTGAAACTTTAACATTTAAATGACACAAAAAAAATCTCTGAACACAGACTTACACCAACTTATACAGCGGAAACTTACAGGTGTATTTATTTTTCCCTTTTTTTATTTGTATCGATTGTATATTTTTTATTAGTTTATAATATCCTTAATAGTCTTAATCCTGCCTGTTTATCAGAGTAGGTACCGTATTTATTAGTGTATAATACAAGAAATTTAACCCCAAATGTCATCCATAAAGTAGGGGTGGGGGGTTACTATTATACACGGGAGTAAATTTTCCACATATCCCCTGTAATTTGCTTGCGTACCCCTGGTTGGGAGTCACTGCATTAGACAGTGTGAAGGAACTGTCCAAGGTCTTGAAAGTGCTGGAATACTTCAAGATTTTAGACCAGTGGTTCCCAAACTTTTTAGACTTGTGTACACCCTGAGCCAGTTTGTCATACCATTAGTACCTCTTCAGTCAAACTTAATGACAATTCACCAAACCCTAATGTACTACAACTGATTATTAAGTGAAAATTATTTATTTAACCCACTAGAACGGTTCATTTTCAGGCATTTTATTTTTACAACTCGAATTAAACATAAAGATAAAAATGTTGCATTGAAAGTGAATAAGTAATTGAATAAATAAACCAGGTAATGGCAGGTGCAGAAAACAGCAGCGTCCAAAATACACTGTATTTTCGAAAATACTTCAGAAACTCACCCAAATGAGCAAAATCCATGAGATTCCACATTTTATACTGGATTCCATTTTGTGTTAATTCCGTGATTCCGTCTGCAATTTCTGCATTGCGGGAATCAGTCCTATTTTAATTTATATTTTTACAGACCTGGGAAAATTTTCCAGGTACCCCCTGTAGTATGTACCCCAAGGGGTACACATACCCCTGGTTGGGAATCATTGATGAAGAGTATTATGTATGTGTATTTGTTTACTCAAAATATAAACCTTTGCATATTTCAGTAAACGTATGTCTAAATCTAATTSAAATAATAGTCTCTGCACACAGCTTCTTGTTTTAACATTTAAAGCTAAAGTTACACTCTGCTTTAAACTCTTGCACTCCTTAATTTAACTGATTTTAAATATGAATAACATTTAGCATTTGTCCAATGAAGTCTTGTTTATGGTTTTATATTCTTCTGTACGTTCAGACAAAGAAACTGTGCGAGAGAAGGAGAAACTGGAGATGGAGTTGAATGCTCTTCGCTCCACCACAGAGGATCAGAGGAGACACATTGAGATCAGAGACCAGGCACTGAACAACGCCCAGGCAAAGGTGGTCAAACTGGAAGAAGAGGTAGGTCCTGTCACAGGTCCTTACTTTTCACAACTAGTCACAGTCCTAATCAGTTCATTCTCAGTAAATACAACTGTAGTAGTTGCTTATATATTCTTRGATGTCAGCATCTGATCAAATGTTCTGCAAGAACTTCAGGTTATGTTCATTGAAATTGCTCCAGGATGGTTCAAGTAATTTTTATCTAAAACATTTCTCTTTGAAAATAAATGTAAGAAAGATTGTAAAGCTGTTGGTGCCAAGGTATTTGTAGAAAAGTCTTTTTGTAGTTGGCTGCCATGTTTTTCATTCATTCAACATTTATAAATCCTTTGCAAACAAACTCAACTTCCTCCCTCAACTTTATTTCTCTACATATACAAATTACCAATTACAAATTTAGTTTTATTTCTCCCAGTGMGTCTCTCACTGCTGTAGGACTCAGTTTTTTTTCTAAAATACCCCAGAAATCAGAGTGAACACCCAGTATTGTCTTCAAAGCTGAAAGTAAAGTGAACTTGGCACACCACATACACTCAACATTGTCGAAACATAAAGTTCACATAGGTAATTATAAATGTTTCTTGTTGCTTGTGCTACAAGAATTTGGAAGATTTGACTTGTAGTTTATGTAGTTTAGGGCTGTTTTGTCTGCCTCTCATTAACTTGGCGGTCAGGGAGTYAGAGACACTCAGACTTCAGCTGTGAAGATTATTTATTTTTATTATTTTAAAACTGTATTGCATCTTTTTCCCCCTCAAAAGGGTAAGAACATTGAGATTGTGCCATATTTAGGCTGACAAATATGTACAAGTTTAGAAACAGTGGTAGTATAAACAAATCCCTGATGATCACTGAAAAACATTGTGTGCTGGAATAAATACTATTTAAGTTTTGAGAATTTCTACATCATGTTTCATATTTAAATACCAGGACAATCATGATCATTTGCAGGCAGCACAGTGAATCAGTTGGTAGAGCGGTGAATAGAGGCAGAGGAATGCATTGTGAACAGTGGCACCTATTATTATGCACCTGGGTTTCTTTATATATTTTTAAGCTTCACAAAACGACCGRTCCTTTGGTCAGGACCTGGGTTTCCAGGCTCTCTTGTTCTATTCAAATGTTCTCCTCAAACGTTGAAACTCGGCAGGAGAAAATCCAAAAGCACAAAATGGACATGACTGGCTGATGGATGTCCTCCTCCTTGTWTATTCCGAGCAGCAATCGATGCACTTAGCAACATAAACAACACTACTCTGTTTGGGCWGGGGGATCTGATCTTTGGGATGAACCAGTTTCTAGGTTAGAATTTCGTCAGCCCTGGTGATGTATAGCTGTGTATGATAGTGTGTTACAAGAAGTACTGCACTCCTCTGATACACAACTACACACTGGTGGAAGGAGGCCGGGGTAGAAGTAGAAAGGAGGTAACTGATTAATAAAGACGCCATTGGCTCAATGACACGTGTGTGTGTGTGTGTGTGTGTGTGTGTGTGTGTGTGTGTGTGTGTGTGTGTGTGTGTGTGTGTGT